TTTTGATTATGTTAATTTGGGTCATAGTCAATAAGTTAAAAAAGTTGGGCTTGCTAATATTAAAATAGATAAATAAATAAATAAATAAATAAATAAATATATATATATATATATATATATGTATGTATGTATGTATTTGGCGGTCGGTTTGGTCCAAACCGCCCAAAAAAGTTTCCAAACCCCAGACCGGACCGGACCGCCCGGTTTTGCTATTTTTCAAACCAGACCGGACCGCCAGACCGCTCAAACCGCCAAAAACGGTCCGGTTTGACTTGGTTCGGCCGGTTTGAGCGGTCCAACGGTTTTTTTGAACACCCCTACTATAGATTACTCTCCAAAAGAGGCCCCTTGAGGAGAGAAGGGGGTTTCAACATATATACTGGCGAAATGGTCCAAATCTAGCAGATATGTACCTTGGATACTAGATGAACAATGGCTGTTTTATCTGTAGTCCCTCCAAATGTGTCAATTAACTCCCCAAAAATTAAGGTTTGAAGAGGCATGCTGAGCCCACTTCCAATGGCAGTAATTGTTCCAGTGACCATTAGTAATAAGTCAATGGAGTCAGCAAAGGCAAAAAGCTTGTAATATGGGACTACATCACTCTTTGCTTCTTTCTTCCTGTTGTCATCTGATGAATCCTTTGATATTTCAGCTGCTTCCATTGTTGCACTGTTAATATATAAGAACATGATATTGGTTTAGGGGGCCGTTTTACCAAGCGCTTACTGGGTAAGCTCTATCACTAATCATCTTACGGGTGAAACCGAGAATCTTAACCTGTAATAGACATAGCAAGGACCGAGTGTCTTACCGGGTAAGTGAAAAGTGACGGAAAAGATTCTTACCCGGTTAGCGCTTACGGTTAAGAACAATCCATTTGGCAATATATATGTTAAAGAGCAAAAGAAAAGAGGAATTGATCATGGTGTTTACCTTGAAACAGCAAATCACATATGGTCTACTTGTGGCCAACCTCAATGATATCTATTCAGCAAACTGTTTGGTTTCTTAGTTCCCAATAAGCACTATATAACCGTGCTTAAATTATTATAGTATCTTATTGGAGATGATCGAATTTAACTTACATGACCTTTCCACTTGTTTGGTCCGTTGGATTGATGCTATCAAACCTTCTATCCTGTCTTTTTCAAGAATACAAGTATTTAAGCATTATCTACACGTGTATAATCATACAAGTCCTTTTAATTTATATAATATTAGATGGCTACTCGTCAATGCAGTAAAATACATCTTGATTTTAATGTTTCGTTTTATTTTTTGTCTGTGTTTATATAATACGGTTTTATGTGACTTTGAGAAAGTGATAATGTTTTTATTTTCGAATAAAATATAAATTTGAAGATATCGTAAAAAAATATATATGAATATTAGTGTCAAATTAAATATTTAAAACTTCTCGTTTTTCTATATAATTTTTTTAATTTAATGTTTTTATTATAATTTAATTTAGGTA